CTTAGCTCCCACTTATAAATGAGAACGTACGATGTTTGGTTTTCCATTCCTGAGTTTCTTCACTTAGAATAACTGTCTCCAACTCCATCTCGGTTGCTATGAATGCCATTATTTTGATCCTTTTTATGGCTGAGTAGTATATATATGTATAAATATATATCTACACACACATATACATACCACATTTTCTTTATCCACTTGTTGATTATTGGCCTTTTGGCGGTTTCCCTTTTTTCCAGTTGCAAATTGTGCTGCTATCAACATGCATGTGCAAGTGTCTTTTCATATAATGACTTCTATTTCCTCTGCATAGATACCTAGTAGTGGGATTGCTGGATCAAATGGCAGATCTACTTTTAGTTCTTTAAGGAATCGCCATAGTGTTTTCCATAGTGGTTGTACTACTTTGTATTTCCACAAGCAGTGTCACCGTGTTCCTTTTTCACCACATCCACTCCAACATCTATTTTTGTTAAATTTTTAAATTGTGGCCATTCTTGCAGGAGTAAGCTGGTATTGCGTTGTGGTTTTGATTTGCATTTCCCTGATAATTAATGATGTTGAGCATTTTTTCATATGATTGTTGACCATTTGTATATCTTCTTTGGAGAGTCGTCTATTCATGTCTTTAGCTCACTTTTCACTTTTTTATGGTTTTTTTTTCTTGCTGATTTGTTTGAGTTTGTTGTAGATTCTGGGTATTATTCCTTTGTCAGATGCATAGTTCATGAATGTTTTCTCCCACTCTGTGGGTTGTCTATTAACTCTGCTGATTATTTCTTTTGTTGGTGCAGAAGTTTTTTAGTTTAAGTACCATCTATTTATCTTTGTTTTTGTTGCATTTGCTTTTAGGTTCTTTCAGTGTTTGCCTATGCCGATGTCTAGAAGAGTTTTTCTGATGTTATCTTCTAGAATTTTTACGGTTTCAGGTCTTAGATTTAAGTTTCTGATCCACCTTGAGTTGATTTTTATGTAAGGTGAGAGATGAGGATCCAGTTTCATTCTCCTACTTGTGGCTTGCCAGTTATCCCAGCACCATTTGTTGAAGAGGGTGTCCTTTCCTCACTTTACGTTTTTGTTTGCTTTTTCGAAGATCAACTGACTGTCAGTATTTGGCTTTGTTTCTGGGTTCTCTGTTCTGTGCCATTGGTCCATGTACCTATTTTTATGCCAATACAATACTGTTTTGGTGACCTTATAGTCCTTAAAGTGTAGTTTGAAGTTGGGTAATGTGATGTCTCCAGGTTTGTTCTTTTTGCTTAGTCTTGCTTTGGCTGTGCAGGCTCACTTTTGGTTCCATGTGAATTTTAGGATTGTTTCTTTTCTAGTTCTGTGAAGAATGATGATGGTAAAATGGGAATTGCATTGAACTTGTAGATTGCTTTTGGCAGTATGGTCATTTTCACAATATGACCATCAAGACAAGACAAGACAGGACAGGACAGGACAGGACAGGACAGGACAGGACAAAGACAAAGACAAGACTTAGGAATATGCCTAACCCAAAAGGTGAAAGACCCAAAAGGTGAAAGACCCCTCTCTGCAAGGAAATCCATGAGTATGGAATATGTTTCTATTTGTTTGTGTCATCTGTGATTTCTTTCAGCATTGTTTTGTAGTTTTCCTTGTAGAGGTCTTTCACCTTTTGGGTTAGGCATATTCCTAAGTATTGTGTTGTGTTGTATTTTATTTTATTTTATTTTATTTTATTTTATTTTCACAGCTGTTGTGAAAGGAGTTGAGTTCTTGATTTCTTTTTTTTTCTTTTTTTTCTTTTTTTCTTTTTTGATACAGAGTCTTGCTGTGTTGCCCAGGCTGGAGTGTAATGGTGCAATCTTGGCTCACTGCAACCTCTGCCTCCCAGGTTCAAGCGATTCTCCTGCCTCAGCCTGCCGAGTAGCTGTGACTACAGGTGCGTCCCACCACTCCCAGCTACTTTTTTGTATTTTTAGTAAAGACGGGGTTTCACCTTGTTAGCCAGGATGGTCTCGGCCTTCTGACCTTGTGATCCACCCACCTTGGCCTCCCAAAGTGCTGAGATTACAGGCGTGAGCCACCGCGCCCAATTGAGTTCTTTATTTCTTTGTCAGCTTTGTTGCTGTTGGTATATAGCAGTGATACTAATTTGTGTACAGTGATTTTGTGTCCTGAAACTTTACTGAATTTATTTATAAGATCTAGGAGTTTTCTGGATGAGTCTTTAGGGTTTCCTAGTTATATGACCATATCATTAGCAAACAGCGACAGTTTGACTTCCTCTTTACTGATGTAGGTGCCTTTTATTAATTTCTTTTTTCTGATTGCTCTAGCTAGGACTTCTAGTCCTGTGTTGAATAGAAGTGGTGACAGTGGGCATCTTTGTCTTGTTGCAGTTCTCAGGGGGAAGGCTTTCAACTTTTCCCTGTTCAGTATAATGTTGGCTGTGGGTTTGTCATAGATAGTTTTTATTACCTTAAGATATGTAATCATAAAAGGATGCTGGATTTTGTCAAATGCTTTTTCTGCATCTATTGAGATGATTGTATGAGTTTTGTTTTTAATTCTGTTTAATTGGTATATCACATTTATTGACTTGTATATGTTTAAGCATCCCTGCATCTCTGCTATAAAACCCATTTGATCATAGTGAATCTTTTTCATATGCTGCTGGATTTGGTTAGCTAATTTTTTTTGAGGATTTTTGCCTCTAAATTCAT